ATTGTCTCTCAACACCAGGTGACCATGAGCATCGGGTCTTGGAGCGAGGTAGCGAACCTTCTCATGGGTCGCCTCCAATTCTTTTGTCTTCCAAAATCTTCTTTTGACCAGGAGCTCATGACCAAATGGCGGAACATCCCCCCAGATCAAGATCGGCCATGCGTCTTCGCTCCCGCTCGTGGACATAGTGGCATGCTTGAGGCCATCGACCCGCCGGCATACCAGCCATGCCAAGAGCCCGACGGATGTGGGACTTCACTGTTTGGATCGCTCTTTCCGCACGCCCGTTGGACTGAGAAGAGACTCCCGCTGTTGTAGTGCGGTGGATGTCCCTTGAGCGACACCACTGGGTGAGGGATCTTCCTCTGAATTCTCCCCCGAGATCGGTGTGAAGCCTCGCCACGTGGTAGCCCATCACCCTGAGCTGGATGTACATTTGCTGGATCGTGGACAGCGCCGTCTTCTGATCCTTTGAGGCCATCGGAATGGCGAGTCTGAAGGTGATCAGATCGGGGTTCTCTTTTTCTTCACCCACTTCAACTTCCTTCATCTCTTCACCTTGTTCGCCTTCTTCTGCCCCACCTTCTTCTTCATCACACTTTTCATTTCCTTCCTCCTCATCTTCTTCTTCAAGCAGCACTTCATCAGAGTCAGCCAGTTCATCATCAGGTACTGGCGGATGCTGTTCCTGAGGAAGAAGCCAGGTGTAGGTGCCAACGAGGATGTACTTCATCAAGTCCTTACCATCTTTGGCGACAGGATATGGACCAGCAGTGTCCAATGACAACGTCGCTGCCAGTGGGTGTGTGACCTTTCGATGCGGTCGGGACTTAGCGCTTTGCTCCTGGCAGATTCGACAATCTCTTCGAAAGGGCACGTGACCATTTTGACAGTGCTGCTCCCATGTCATCCCTTTTAGCTTCGGTTCCTCCTCCACATTTCCATTGATGTGGAGAGCACAGGCTTCAGCGACGGAACGACATAGTCCCGGAACCCAGCGAGCAAGTGAGGACGATGGAACCTTCTGACCTTCTCCTCTGCTCTTCGATCCAGGGTTTTTTCCTTTTGGTAAGCGGAGCTCCACATTGGCAGCCAGAGTTGTAGGCTTCACCGGAGCATCCTCCTTCCAGGGTTCATAGTCTCCCTGGTTCAAGTGGTGGACTTGTAGATGAGCGGCACTCTGAAGCTTCTTCCATGGTTTCGTACTCCAGAAGGAGACACACGAGGGCATGTAGTCCTTAGGATCGGAGGGCTGCTCTAGCAGAAACATCACCTCCTCTCTTTTCTTCTTTTCTTTATCTTCTTCTGTTGAATCCTTCAACTTGGCAGCCATATCCGCGACCAGGAAGAGAAAGATCTGACGCCACATCAGGACATCATCTTCTTGACACATAGCCATCTCTTCAGGGCTGTGGGCACTGATGCCCCATGGCTCTTCCCAGGATCTTACAGGTCTTGGACCACCGGGATAGTGTCGCAAAACTGATCGGGTACGACAGTTGGGCCCTCCAATCACCGCCGCCAAATCCCCATCCAACGCCAAACGAAGCAGGCCCTTGTAGGCCTTCGAGTCCAGGGATGCCATATCATGCTCATCACCCCTCTGTAGGTCCACCTCCAAGGTACGGCTTCCCAAGCCATGCTCTTCCATAGCCTTTTGCAGAGTGAATCCTTCACGTTTTCCAGCATATAAATGCAGGATCACCGAACCAGCTGCCTTCAACCGCCTTCGTTGATGTCGGTTGGCAGGGAGGTCCTTCCACTCCCCCGGTTGTTGGACCAGGGCCTTCTTGACATGTTCGGGAAGTTCTGCCAAAGCTGGATGGCCTTCAACTAGCGACTTCATCCACTCCACCTCCCGTTCAGGGTGTACTTCACCCACCAGGCGAGCTTGCTTTACCTCCTGGGCACGATCCTCATACTCCTGGATGAGCTCGAGGGCCAGCTGCTTGGGGATCTGTGGACACCCCGCTTGGATACTGATCGGCAGAGATCCTTTGGTGGGATGGGCGACTTTCATACCATGTTTCTTCCATGAAATCTTGCATCCTCCTCTCGCCAGCATTCCAAGGGGTACTATTGGTTCCACTTGTAGATTTGTTGAAACCATCACCCCCGACTCAGTCATCAACAGAGGTGTGGTGCGGCCATCAGCCAAGGACACAGAGACCTTCTTGAACTTCTCGAGGCTGTCCGTAGACGTAAGAGGCCTCAGGGGATGCGTAGCACCAGAGTCCAAAAGTCCCCATTCTTCTTCTTGCAAAGACCCCATCTTCGCTTCGCGAACGCGGGTCAACTTCAGGGTTTTGATGCTTTTCTTGATCTCATCGAGCTGCTGATGCAATCTGCTCAGCTTGGCTTCCGAAGCTTCCTTGTCCTTCATCGCCTTGAGCATCTTGTTTGCCTCAGCGAGAAGTTCATCCATCTTTTCATCATCTTGACCTCCACTTCCTTTTCCTCCTTCCTCGCCTTTTGGATCCTTCTCTTCTTCTTTCTCCTTTTTAACCTTTGGTGGCGAGTTGGGGGCAGTTCCACCTGAGTTCTCCTTGGTAGGGCAGGTCGGAGCTAGGTGTTTCGTGGAGCCACATAGGTAACACCTTTTTTGTTCATCCTTTTGGTCATGCGACCATTTGCAATCACGGCCACGACGACATCCGGCCTCGCTGAGGAAGAACTTGCACGGTAACTTGACTTCCATCTCCTTCAGCTTGCCTTCACCCCCTTTGGCCTTTCTGTTAATCTCCTCCATCTTCTTTACTTTACTTTCCTCCTTCTTCGTAGTTGCACCACTTCGCTTCTCAGCTAAGGAGAGCTGTTCGATCTCGGCAATGAGATGGGTGGCGAATTGGCTGACCGAGAGCGCATTAGGATTGGTGTCAACTTGGAGGGCATTCCGAGCAAGAGACACCCGGAACCGTAGACCTTCATTGGCATCCAAAACTCGCTTCGTCAAGCGATTCAGACCCTTGACCAGAATGGACGGGTCAGGTTCGGTGGCTCCAATCTCCTGAGCCCTTGCACGCCAGCGAAGCCATCGACGGAGGCCAACCACCGTGTCGTGCAGATTTCCTGGTTCCGTTGGATCTTCAAGGTTCCGCAGGAGCATTTGTTTCTCGCTTATGCCACCAGGACAGTAGGTGACGTGAAGATGGGCGAGGATGGCGAAGACTGACATCCTTTTTGTAGCCACCAGTTCATCTTTCTGAACTTCTGGAATTGCCTTCAGCAACAGGGTGGCCATTCGCCGTTCGAACTTCGCCCATTTCGGAACACTGAGTGATGATGGAGGCACAGGCTCATGCTTGACCCGTTCCAAGGGAGCCATTGCTTGGTGGTCCTGGTACCACTTCTCAACCTCAGTCATCATTCGATCCCACCAAATGTCAGAGGTGGTCGTCAGGTCAGCCACCACAGGCTGAACAAGGAGCAGCCAATCACCAAGCTGCAACTGCGAGGTGGAACCATGTAGAGGATGTAGAACAGGTAGTTCAGCCACCTGCCGGACAATCTCCACCCCCTTCACCGTTCCTTGAGCTTCTTGTCCCTCGGAGATCTGTCGTTGGAGGGACTTCATACTTTCCACCAAAAGTGTCATCACTTCCATCTGTTGAACTTCAGGGGACAATTTGGCTCCCCCGGTTGTAGGTCTAGGCCCCTTCATTTCCCCTTTTCCATAGGATGGACTTCGACCCTTTCTCTGTTGTTCTTTGGAGCGGGACCTGGAACCTTTGACCCCATAGCGAGCCGGGTAGGTCGACCACGGTGTGCGTCCTCGGGCATGTAGGTCGTCGGCTCCTGGAATCCCATTCGGTCCCTCTTCATCAGGGGTGTTGAAGTTGGAGGCACTTCTTGGCCTTTCTCCATTTCTTCTCTTTCCTTTTTCTTCTTTTCCTCAACCTCCAACCTCTTTCGGTCTTCCCCCTCAATCCTCCATTCATAGAGCTCTTGCTGGAGGCGATCATTTTCACGTTGTTGGGCCTGGCAAAGATCAGTGAGCCGTTGCACATCCTGTGAAATCTGCCAGCGCCACATGATTTCTTCCTCTTGGTCTTCCCGTTCTCGATCGCGACGGGTCCTTCGAGGGTCGTTGGAGCTTTCCTCACATCTTCTTAGCTCCTCACTTTCTTCTTCTTCCATCTCCACCACCCTTCTATACCCTTCTTTCTTACCTCCTCTTTTTCCTTCCCTTTTTTCTTCTTCTTCTTCCAGGAAGGCAGGGCGAGACACCTGAGTCGGCCGATCATCACCTGAAGAGGACGGCATCAAACCTGGGCCGAAAAGTTGTGGAGCTCGTCGAGCAGATGCCTTAGCTTCACGGATCTGCTCCTGGGAGAACAAGGGCTGCATGGTTTGAGGTGCCGGTGGAACCAACGGAGCCAAGGTCATGGGCTTTCCTCTTGGGGCCTCAACGACACTTTCTTTCGATCCACCGCTCTTGAACACCTCTATTTCTGTCTTCCCTGTTCCTGTATTCCCCAGCCCAGTTGTCGAGCGAGCCGGGGTGCTGAATTCCTTTTTGGCTTCTTCTTCCTTTACACCAGCTTCGAGCTCTTCCGCTGGTTGCTTCACCTCCAGGTCTTCGCGGACATCAGCAGGAGGTGGCAAAGCGAGCGGCCCATCGTCACGGTCCATGATTCGACGGCGCCGGAGCATAGACGGGTGTGGATTAGAAGAACCTTCCAACGTTGGGCTCATAACCTGTTGGTGGTCGGGCATGTTCCTCACCCAAGTAAAACCCTCTCAAAACAACCCTCAAGACAACGCAAAAAGGATGCTCTGCTTTTCTGCTGACTTCGTGATCTTGGTGGGGTCTTCTCGCCCCGTTGAGGTGTCTTGACCTCAACTTCATCTAAAAGGGCTGCAAAGACATGCAGCATGCAAAAGCGTGTCATCTTTGTGCAGGGGTCATGCATCAACATATGCTAATTGGTGCCATTGACGAAAAGGTGTTGGCGAACACCACATCTACACTGCTGTACGGTGCTTGTCCTGTGGCCGAGGCTATACTAATGGAACCAGCCAATTGACCGGAGCAGGCTGGAACCCTGGTGTGACGCAGCTTCGCCACGCGCATGTGTTTACTACCTTCTCCTACGGGTTCCTGTCTCTATCAAACCGGTTGATGTCCGTCCATGACCTCTTGAGAATCCTGGGCCGATTTGGACGCCCTTCGTGCGAAAGAACTGGGCAGGCTATGTGAACGGACATGGCGGTGGAGGTGGGACAGTCTGTGGTCAAGGGACTCCATGGGATGCTAATGTTGAATCAGCACTGTTGGACATCGGGCATTTCTGGGACCTCGCCCCTTCGTACGTCGTACGAGAGGAACTGTTCAATGAGCAGGGGGAGAGGGAGGAGAGAGGAGGGAGAGAGAGAGAGAGAGAGACAGAGAGAGAGAGAGAGAGACAGAGAGAGAGAGAGAGAGAGAGAGAGA